CCTTCCCTTTTTTTTTTTTTTTTTTTTTTAAAATAATTTTTTATTTTTTTTTAAAATTTTTAAAATTTTAATAAGATCTTATTTTAATTGTAAGCTGCATTATTTATATATTCTTAAATATTGTTATTTAATAAACAATTTTTTAATAAAAGATAATAAATGTTTGAAGTTGGATAAGAATTCTCTCTTAGGATCCAAGAAGATAAATATATGCATAAATATTTATCTCTTTCAAATATTGATTGATTAAGTGAAAAAAAGATTAATTTTGAAAAAATAATTTATATTATTGAGAAATTTAATGAACTTAGCTAAATTAACTAATTTTTTTTAAATGATGTAATTTAAGAAAAAATTTAAAATAAACTTATTCAATCACAAACTAAAATTAACACATGCATAAATTAAAAAAGATTTTAAAACATTTAATAAAAAAACTTATATAAATAAGTTTATATATTATGAGAATTTTTCTTTTCACTGATAAGTATTTGTAGAAAAATTTATCTAAACATACTCGTTCAAAATAATCTCTAATTTGTTTACTCAGATATCCATTGGTTTGTATGTTTGTATGTCATAATTTTCTTTATTAATTAACAGGCATATTCTGCTGAAATATTTCGAGAAGAATACCAAGCTCTAGGACTCTCAAGTGTAAACATCACTAACCATCTCTACTTTCTTTAAAGCACATATATACATGTTCATCAGAATAATTCATAGAGTAATATGATTTCAGGTCTCTGCTGCCTGGGGAGTAGGTTTAGTCTTTGGCCCAGCATTGGGAGGATACTTGGCCCAGGTAATTGTTACTTCACAGCATGATGATGCATTTCAGAAAACCCATGAATTTTCAGAAATGTCTTACGAGATGGCATTCCATTTATGTCCCCCCAAAAAATTTAGATATACGAAATTAGAAATATAAAAGGATTTTTAAACATTTCCTCTTGTTTCTCTAATATTTTATGAATATTTGTTTTGCAGCCAGCTGAGAAATACCCAAATTTATTTCCAAAGGATTCCTTCTGGGATAAGTAAGTATATTTTTGTGATATATATATATATATATATATTTGAAAAATTAAATTACTTAATGGCTTTTTTATTCAAATTTTGAAAATTAAAGGTTGTCTTTTTTTTAATTCGTTTAATTGGTGTAATTTTACAATAATAAATATGGTGAATAATTAAACACATATCTCCAAAAGAAAAAATATATATATATATGACAATTTTATTTATTTACATTACTTAATAACTTTTTATAAAATATGAATAATAAATGATTAATTAGTTTTTAATCATTTGTAGTTCATATAGTTTTAAATATGTCTTTTTAGTTATTATACTTAGAATTTTATAATCTTTTTAGTTTCTATTATTTTTTTTTTTGTTAACATTATTTGTTTTGTGTTAATATGGTAAATGATAAATGGTGATTGTTTTGTTTTATGTTTTTAATTTTGTGAGAATAAAAAAATGGTGTCTCAACAATGAATATTGCATATATGAGGGTACTAAAGAGGTATGAAGTATTGAAAAATCTAACTTAAAACAACTTAAACAAAATAAATTTGACATTAGATATATAAAATTGAGTTAATATTTTTGTCACGTTAAAACAAAGGTGACAAAGTTAAAAAAAAACACAAATGCTTAAAAAGATTTAAAAATTGCAAGTGTAGGAACTAAAAACCGTATCTTAAATTATAGGACCTAAAAAAGATTGAGAAAGATAATTTTTAGTCTATTTTAAATTATAGAGACTAAAAAATAAAGTAATGAAACTATATGATTAAAAATATTTTAAATATAAATTTTATAATAACAAGATAAATGATATAATATTATTGTGTATTAAAAACAAGAGAAAAACATGGTACAAAAAGAACCTTTATGCTCAATGCGATTGAGGCTGAGAGCTTCTGGAAGGATCATGCTTGACGTGACCCTTCTTACACCTTACAAAATCACAATAGACAGACCTTGGAACTCCCACGCCTAACATGACCATGATACACTCCATATCAATGAATTTGCAAGCATTTTGTGGTCTTTGCACCTAGCGATCCCAAGTGGCACTCGATGCAGTATCAATAATTCCCACTCTACATAATTACGATTCATTTATATGCTAAATCCTATAATTTACACGAACCCATGATAAGAATTGATATCTACAATCTAATTAATGTGTTCTACTCTAAGGGTTTCCTAATAATTGTTTCTCTAATAATTTGCATTTTATTTTAATCCTTAGGGTTCTTTTTTTTAAGCAATCCTTAGGGTTCTCTTGGAAACCCACAAACACAGATTCACAATAATAGGTAATTCTAAGGATAAAAAACACAATAACAAATTACTAACGCATTCAAAATACTAGGGGTGATGTGGATTTACAAACAGAGATCATATCATAGATCATACATAATTACATCACAACTGAAAAGCAAGGAAACAACAAATTCACAATATAATAACATTCAATTTTAGTTTTAATTCATTCAAACACAAATAATGAGATCAGGGATCAATCCTGTTACCTAACAAATAACCCACACTTAGAGCGAGGTTCTCACTCCCCCTTACCTTGATGGATGCAAACTCCATACGTGGATCTCCGAGGTCATCTCCGATAGCCACTAGCACTACAAAAAATATGCAATTTAGCGATCACCAAAATCGATCGCTAAATTGCAAAAATCGGTCGCTATTTACCTTAGCGACTGAATTAGCGACCGAATTTAATCAGTCGCTAAAATCCTGGTCGCTAAGCTATTTAGCGACGGAAAAATTTTCGGTCGCTATTTAGCGATCGAAAATTTCGGTCGCTAATTCGGTCGTTAAATGGTTGAAATGATTTTGGTCGCTGAAGTGTATGGACCAAATTAGTGACCGAATAAATCGGTTGCTAAATATTTATTTTTTATTTTATTAAATTTTATAGTCGTCGCAAATTTGGTCGCTACGAATCACTCATATTTGGTCTCTTAAAGATTTTATTTCAAATACTTAAGTTTTTAGCATGTTTTGTCCTTAATTACACAATTTTTGGAAACTTCCCAGAAAGTCACCCATCCTTATATTACTCCAAGTCAAACACGCTTAACTATGAAGTCCTTATGAGATAAGCTACCGAAAAACAAATGCATGTTATTAGTATAAGTAGTATAAATTAATTCATTTAAGTCATTTTCAACTATCCAATCTCATACTTAGATTATTTTTGGATACTTATCATTTTGGTATATCCGGACCGTTATAAATATATAATAATTATATTACTAATAATAATAATTAATATTTAATTAATCTTTATTTATATATATACTTACTTTTATAATTAGCAATTTACTTATTTTTATTTAAAATAATTAATTTTATGATACAATTTAAATTATTTATTATAAATTTAAAAGTTTAAGTAATAATTTATATATTTTAAAATGAAAAGGGTTATAATAACACTGGTATAACTTTTATTAAGTATTACACCGCTCAATAAATTTATATTAAATGTGAATTTTGTAAATCTAACCGATAGATTGAAAGTTCATATCACTTTATATGTTTATATCAATTTTTGTTAAAATTGAACAACAACTTAAAAGTAATCAAAGTGCTCATATTTTATTTGAAATGTATATATTACGTCAATTTTGTTTTACAAGAATGAAGTATCAAATCATCTTGAATTCATATAAGATTTTGTATATATGATCTAAGAGTAAAAAACTTTCAATCTAACGGTTGAATTTATAAAATTCACATTTAATATAAAGTTATTGAGCGATGTAATACTTAGTAAAAGTTACACCGATGTTATTATAACCCTTCTCTTTTAAAATATTATTTTTATAAATTAAATTTTAACATTTTAAATAAATTATTAATTAACTTAATATATTTATTCATCTTAAATCTAAGATATAAAATTTAAAAAATGTATTTATCCTTGTTTTAATTTCTAATTATCAACCATTAATAAAATATTAATTTAAAATTTAGATATAAAAATTTATTTAAAAATAAAGTTACCATAAGTTAGAAATATATATTATAAATATGGATCAAAATAAATAAGAAATTTTAAAATTCATGTACTTTAATTAAAAAACTGCCTAAAAATTCAATCGTAAAAAAAACCTCTAAATATTTTTCCACATAAATAACTATTAGTATTATTTATGTAGGAATGCATATAAATATTTTTTTATTATAAATTAATGTCTAGCTCTTATTAAAAAAAAGAAAATGGGATTGATATTCAACAACAATATTATCATCACTTTTAAGCAATTTATAAATTTTTTTAAGTTTTACTTAGTGACCGAATATAACTTCGTCGCTAATTTTAACTAATATTTAGCAACCGAATAGAATTATATTGCTAATTTTAACTAATATTTAACGACTGAATAGAATTACATCGCTAATTGTAACTAATATTTAGCGATCAAATTTAATTCTGTCGCTAAAAAAATCAAAATTTTTGATTTAGAGACCAAATTCAATTCTGTCACTAATTTTAATTAATATTTAGCGACCGAATTTAATTCAGTTGCTAAAAAATCAAAATTTAATATTTAACGACCGAATTGAATTCAATCGCTAAATTTAACTAATATTTAGTGACCGAATTCAATTTCGTCGCTAAATTTAACTACTATTTAGCGACCGAATTTAATTCTGTCGTTAACTTTAACTAATATTTAGCGACCGAATTCAATTCCGTCATTAAAAAAAATCAAATTTCTAATTTAGCGATTGAATTCAATTCTGTCGCTAATTTTAACTAATACTTAGGGACCGAATTTAATTCTGTCGCTAAATTTAACTACTATTTAGCGACCGAATTCAATTTCGTCGTTAATTTTAACTAATATTTAGCGACCGAATTAAATTTCGTAGCTAAAAAAATCAAAAATTATAATTTAGCGACCGAAATAGCGACCAAATTCAATTCCGTCGCTAATTTTAACTATTTAGCGACTGAATTAAATTTCGTCGCTAAAAAAATTAATTTATAATTTAGCGACCAAATTCAATTTTATAGCTAAATTTAACTACTATTTAGCGACCGAATTGAATTCTGTCGCTAATTTTAACTAATATTTAGCAACCAAATTAAATTCTGTTGCTAAAAAAAATCAAAATTTATAATTTAGCGACCGAAATAGCGACCGAATTTAATTTCGTCGCTAAAAAAAATCAAAATTTATAATTTAGTGATCGAAATTGCGACCGAATTGAATTCTGTCGCTAAAAAATCAAAATTTCTTATTTAGCGACTGAAATAACGACCGATTTTCTGGCGACGACTTATTTTGGTCGCAAAATCGGTCGTTATTTTAATTATTCATAATTGGTTGCTAAATCAGTCGCTATTTAGCGACTGATAAATTTTGGTCGCTAATTTCGGTCGTTATTTTACAATTTTCTAGTAGTGTAGTTCTTCCTCTTTAATGAGAAATAAGAAGATTAAAACCTTAAAAGTAGAGCTATTAGTGCGAATTTTTTTTTTCTCACTTCATACATCATTTGGATGATCCAATCATTGAAAATGAAGAATAACAAGCTATGAACCCCCTATCCAAAATTTAACTTGATCCAATGGTAAACAAACCTCCAATTACAATTAGAAAATCATTGCCTAGTAGATATGCAAATTAAACAATCAATTTTTTTTATTATCTTGTCTATTGTGTTTTGCTATTGTTCTCTCAATGATGAGTTGGTCTCTTCTCTTTGAAGCACAAAGATGGGTATTAATGATGAGAAACAATACTAGACTACTAATCTATTAGTAGGGAACCCTAAAGCCTAACCTTCACATAACTTGTGGGTAAATCCCATTAAATTTTTCATCATTCCTCTTTTAAAACTTAATTGTTTATAATAATTAACTATAAAATATTCTTTTTATCACATAACATTTATAATTATAAAATTACCCAATTAATTATTTAAAATTCTATAAATAAATACATAAGATAATATGTTTTCAAATATAATAATTTAAAAATATTTATTTTCAGTCTAAAAATATTCTTATCTACAAAACCTCTCAATTAGTCAAAATCAAGAGATATATTTATATCTCTAATTATTAATATAACAAATAATTTCAGAAATCCTTTTGTAATTGATAAAAAGTACTCGTAATTATTTAAAAAGTCTTTAATATAATTATAAAATCTATTTAATTAATATTTTTTAAAATAATTTTAGAAAATTTAAGATGTTACATTTTCAATATATCTTATACTTTTTTTGTCACGTCATCGCCATGTGACTAATCTATATCACCGCTCTAGAATGTCACCTTTTCGGTGTACATGTAAACATCACTATCAAAGCAATATGTCATTGATCTATATCAACATGAAACCAATTTAGCATAAATATATTTTGATTAATTGTATATGCCTTTTAATTTGATTGTTTTGTTTTATTGTATTGAGTTTCATTTGTCAACATCAATCTCCTTACAGGTATCCCTACTTCTTGCCCTGCCTTGTAATATCAACTTTTGCATTTGCAGTAGCAATTGCTTGTATTTGGCTACCGGTATGTATCTTGAGTTTTAATATATATAGATATCACAAATATCTATTTTCTCTATTTGTTGAGTTTTTTGTTTTGACATAAACATGGGTGCACACCTAAATGTAGCACCATTTTTTTATATATAGATATGATAAAATATATTCTTCCAACAATATTTACTATTTGGTAAATTTCCTATGGGACTTGAAAATGAATTTTTTTTTATCCATCTAAATTACAATGACAACATCATGGTTCAAATTTAGGATCTTGTTCATATTATTCCAACTTCCCACCATTAGGTTGACCCTAGTGCAAGACTTGATAATGAATGAGTTTCACTTTTTATTTATTAAGTTTCATTATTTAATAAAATTTACATCAATTTTAGTTCAATAGTATGAAATATTATACTGCAGGAGACACTTCATAATCACGATGTGTCCATTGAGAACTTTGAAGCTTTAGAAAATGGAAGTGGTGGAGCTACCAAAGACAAGATGACTAAAAAACATGAAAGTATCTTAACAAATTGGCCTTTAATGTCATCTATCATTGTTTATTGTATTTTTGCGCTTCACGACGTTGCTTATTCTGAGGTATTATTTAACTTAAAATGTTGCTATTTTGTCATTTTTTTATGCCATCAATCCACATGTACATCAAAGGATTATTATTTAATACTCCTTTTGCATTGCATTCCATTTATACTTGGGTTGGGACTTTTTCTAGCATACTTTTGACACAAAGTGCAATTGAAAGGAGAGAGAAAAGTGTAAAGATGAGAATGAAAACAGTATGACAAAAATCATAACTTATTTTACAACATGATATTCATATATTTGGTTATATATAAACAAAAATTATATTATACATTTTTGCTAGGTTTTTTCATTGTGGACTATTAGTCCGCGACGATTGGGAGGTTTAAGCTTTTCAACTAGTGATGTTGGTAATATTCTTGCAGTTTCAGGTATGTCTCTGACATCTATGAATTTATGACATTTTTTTTTATTCATTGGAAGATGATTTATATCTATCCATCTCTTTCAACCTTTAATCAAACAATCATAGTTAATTTTATTGATCAATTAATTTGTTTGTCAAAACTCTTGGTTGATTGAAGGTTTGGATATATACCTATAAATATTTTAATTTATATTTTTTGTACATGTATTTTGTTCCTTCAAATTTATTGCTTTGGTTTGATACCATTAGATGACATAAGATTAACAAGGAGTTATTATGAAGTATAAGAATAAATGAAAAAGGAAAAAAAATCATTATTCGGTCGCTATATGTGATACTCATTTTAAATTCAATCTTTTCGTTTTACAATTTTATACTTTCTAGTAGACAATTTTATAACAAAAAGTAGCATGAAGCATATTGAAAACAAGTACACATTTTTTTAAATATAAATAATACATAAAAATAAATAAGGCATATGACAATTACAAAATATTTTAACCAATTGTGAGTTTAATCACAATTCTATTGTCTAGTATATTTTATCTCCATGTATTTTTGATTAAAGCTTCTGTCACTAAACACTATTAGATTAAAAAAAGACTAATTGGTAAATTCATACTTCATTGGCTAATCAAAACATTTAATGATAAGATGTATAGGCTAAACATAGTTAATCATGAGGCTCCAAATCCAATTATCTTCTAAAATCAAAGGATTTTTCTAAATCTATATAATCTTTTTTTCTTTTTTAAAAAACATATTGATTTAGTTTGATTTATATATTGAAGTTTAAATAAAATCAAGTAGAATTCACTAACTAGGGATAACCTAGCAGTGAGAGTTAGGAAAGTTTGCATAAGATTTTAGGTTCTAACTTTATTGTTCCCATTGTGAACACACCAAAAATTTTTTATAGTTGAATCTTTAATATTTTTTGAACAGTAAAAATTACAATGACAATAATATGATTCGAACTTATAGTCCTATACATACTATCTAAACTCTTGCCACTAGATCAACCTTAGTCCTATACATACTATCTAAACTCTTGCCACTAGATCAACCTTAATGATTTTAAACAACCTAATATCTACTAATCTCTTAGCATTTTTGTTTCATTTGTTATGATTTATTATCTAATTCCCTAAATTAGAGTATTGAATCTTTGATAATGGAAGATTCAGTAGGATCCATCCTCAATTGTAAGTCTTAATTAAGATATTTAAGGCATGTATACTTTAGATATTTTTTTATTTGTAAGAAAATAGAAAAAATGATAGTGAAAATAAGTTTGATTGAATTTTAGAAAATATTTTTTTAAAAAATATTATCATAAGTTAGTCCCAAAATTGAAAATATAAGATACAAAATTTTCCTTGTCATCAAAGACATCATAAGATCTCCGATACTAAAAGTGGACTAAGGTCCTACATTATGATTGGAATACTCAATATATAAATAATCCATTTTGATAAGAAAATATAAGATTATTAGTAATGCTATTAAGATATTGTTGATATCATTTTCTATTGCACAACAACATTAGGTTTAAATATTTTTATAGCTCTTAAAAACATAATACTGTTTAAGTTGGTCTTTATTAAGCTTCTATTCATTTTTATCTTAAAAAATTATGGTTTTATAACTTTAATTTCTTGTAAAGACTCTTGATTCTAAAATAAGAAAGAAAGCAAACAAAAATAAATCTTATATAAATTTTGAACAAAAACATATAAATAAGAATATCCAACAAGAATGTAAAACGTAAACAAAGAAAAAATGCAACACCAAAACAAAAAAGATTGAGAGAAGATAACACAACAAATTTTTATGCAGTTCAGTTAATTTGGCCTACATCTACGGGAAAGAGAAGATTCCATTATCTGAAAACAATATAGTCTTCACAACAAAATAACGCCTTGTTCTCTTTAATAGGTTTTCCTCTCCTCTCTACCTATCTCCTTCATAGTTGACGGAAACCTAATGGAGCAATTGGATTGATATGGCTTTTCCTTCAAGTTCTTTCTTAGATCTTTGGCTTCTTGACACTCCTCAAGCTTCTTCAAGGTCTCTAATGGAGGTAGAGACCTCTGGTTTCACTTTAGAAGGTGAAGAACTCGTTTCAAGTGATGCCACTTCAAGGTAGAAGATAAACCACTTCAACTCTCATCACACTCTTAGGAAGAGGGATAAGAGAATTAAAAGCAAATCAAATAAAGAATTTAGAATTTTGAGAGAGAATTTTGAGCAAACAACTTGGCAATCTCATATGATCCATAAGTGAGTTTTACAAGTGAACCAACCTATATATAGTGGTGGAGAAACTTGTAGTGAAACAAGCTAGACAAGGTAGAGACAAGGTAGGGACACTTAGATCTAGATTAGTCGATCATAGAGTGCAAAGTATCACCTGTCTTCTAAGAGACAATGAAGATATACTTAGATCTATAAGAGTAAATCATAGAATGCCAAATGTCACCTTATCTTCTTGGCAAGCCAAGAGACAAGTGTGTTGGAGAAGCTAGACAACTAACTCAGCCATGGAAGAGAATGGAGACTAAGGCTTGTTTTCCTTCACCTAATACAATCCAAAATCTTGGAATTGGTTTAGTTAGGTTCACCAAATGATGGTGAGGTCTAGCTAAATAAATTCCTTGGATTAAATGGAGAAAAACAAGTCTAATATATGTAAAATTTGACCTGGGCTCACTAAGGGCCCAATTGCTAGCTTCACCTACACATTTACTATTTGCTACCCCATTACTAAAACTAAAAATATGAAAATCTATATACAAGGTCAAATGAAGTAAAAGTTTCCTAGTAACATACTCTAAAATCCTAAGGGTGTGACCTACAAAGAAAGATAAAAGTTCCTTACACATATAAAGGCAAAAAGTAAGTCTATACAAGTATCTATTATATACAAAGTATTATACAAGATATGTACAATAAAGACTTGAGACTAAAAAGACGAATCATACTCAATACTCATATAAAGCATAGGTCTAAGAAATACCTCCTCTATAGAAATCTCCTTTGGCCTCCTATTCATGGACCTAGTTAAAGGTCCAATGATCTTCATGTGTGAGCTCTCTATGGATGGTCCTCCATCACACCCTCCTTCTGGAGAATGATCTGTCCTTAGATCTAACTCATCATCATCAATTTTAGCATCACCTGCAAAAAGTACAAGATCACAAACATTAAATGTGTTGCTAACACCATAATTAAAAGGTAAATCTAACCTATATGCATTATCATTGATCCTTTGGAGGACTTGGAATAGACCATCTCCTCTTGGACTTAGTTTGAACTTCCTTTATGTAGGAAATCTATCTTTTCTTAAGTGAAGCCAAACTAAGTCTCTTTCCTCAAATACAACTTTCTTTCTCCCTTTGTTGTTGTATTCAATATATTTTTGAGTTTGTTTTTCAATTTGGTCCTTAACCTTCTCATGGAGTTTCTTTACAAAATCTACCTTAGATACTCATCCTTTATGTAAATAAGAAGAAGTACTAGGAAATGGAAGTATGTCAAAAGGAGTGAGAGGGTTAAAGTCATAAACAACCTAAAAAAGAGAAAGATTGGTAGCCTTATGGACTACCCTATTGTATGTGAATTCTATATGAGGAAGATGTTCATCCCAAGACTTTTTGTTTTCTTAAGATGATATTATGTTTCTTAAGATGAATTCTTATGGACTACCCTATTGTTTCTTAGATACTCCTCCTTTATGTAAATAAGAAGAAGTACTAGGAAATGGAAGTATGTCAAAAGGAGTGAGAGGGTTAAAGTCATAAACAACCTCAAAAGGAGAAAGATTGGTAGCCTTATGGACTACCCTATTGTATGTGAATTCTATATGAGGAAGATGTTCATCCCAAGACTTTTTGTTGTTCCTCAAATACAACTTTCTTTCTCCCTTTGTTGTTGTATTCAATATATTTTTGAGTTTATTTTTCAATTTGGTCCTTAACCTTCTCATGGAGTTTCTTTACAAAATCTACCTTAGATACTCCTCCTTTATGTAAATAAGAAGAAGTACTAGGAAATGGAAGTATGTCAAAAGGAGTGAGAGGGTTAAAGTCATAAACAATCTCAAAAGGAGAAAGATTGGTAGCCTTATGGACTACCCTATTGTATGTGAATTCTATATGAGGAAGATGTTGTTTCTTAACCTACAAAGAAAGATAAAGACGCCTTATAAATACAATGGCAAAAAATAATCCTATACAAGTATTTACTATATACAAAGTACTATACAAGATATGTACAATAGAGACTATGAGACTAAAAAGAGGAATCATACTCAATTCTCATATAGAGCATAGGTCTAAGAAGTACCTCCTCTGTAGAAGCCTCTTCTAGCGTCGTAACCATGGACCTAGTTAAAGGTCCAATGGTCTTCATGTAGGAGCTCTCTGTGGATGGTATTCCATCAACAGCTCTTGCAAGCATGTTCTCATTTTTCTCATTTTTTTGTTCTCATACTTAGCACTTTGTTGTCTCTCTTTGAAAAAGATCCGCAAACACAGACACATACACACACACACCTATAAAGATCCAAGATACTAATATTAAGTCTTATAAGACAAGACAAACTAAATCCATCAAATTAATGAGGATAGTCTAATGTACAGTTTAAACCCATTAGATGAGTGAGGACAAACTAAATGTATAAAAATTGTATAAACAAAAGACCATACATAACATACAAATGATGCATTAGATTTTGAGTCATAATCATTAATTCTCTACCTTAACTCTAAATCTAAAGAAAAGAACCTTTTCAAAATAGTACTGCACTCTTACTTCAAAATGAACATCAAACGAAGTTGATCAAGTCCAAGCAGTACTTGAACTTGGATGTAGAAAAAGACTTTGTAAACACATTAGCAAGATTGTCTTCTAATGCAATCTTATTCTAATTTCTCTAGATTCAACCATATTTTTGAAGTGAAGCTTTATATCAATATGCTTTGTTTTCTCTTGATAAACTTG